TGAGATTTAACTTTAGAACAATGGATAAATTATCTTTGCTGTAAAAAAAGTGAATAAAGAATGTACGGATTACGTAAAAAAAATATATTATAATGGTAACAAGAATACGCCTTGAACGTTATCGGAATTTAGAAAATTATATATCGTAATCTATAAGCAAAAAATATAATTACTGGAAGAAGAGTCATTGTGAATTTTTAAAAAAAATATAGTTACTGGAAGAAGAGTCATTGTGAATTAAAAAAAGATATAGTTACTGGAAGAAGAGTTATTGTGAATTTAACCTTTATCTATAACAGCAAACTTACCCAAGCAAAGCAGGACATAAATGTCAGCTTCCATTGGAACTTTCCGAAACCTCCAGCATTGACCACATCTTCAACTGTGTAAGAATCTGGGACAGAAAAAGAAAATACAAGTTAATTAGATTCAGGGATTTTAAAGGCTTCAGTTAAGTATATCAAAAAGTTATTTACTTTGATAACATTTATATGATATGCTTTATTCATAAGTTATATAGGGGAATCATATGTTATACACATTGGTTTATTTCGAGATTTTTATATTTAATTAGATATTAGAGTGAACTGTAAATTTAAATTATTTTATGTTTTTTCATGAATGAAGTAAAGCAAGATTACTATAATTTAATGTACTCAAATGAAGCGGCTTCTCGGCCGCTCAGATTTAAATTTGTTTGTTTGTTTGTTATGAATTTCGAGGGCTACCTGTCCTAGCCGTCCATAATTTAGCAGTGTAAGACTAGAGGGAAGGCAGCTAGTCATCACCACCCACCGCCAACTCTTGGGCTACTCTTTTACCAACGAATAGTGGGATTGACCTTCATATTATAACGCCCCACGGCTGAAAGGGCGAGCATGTTTGGTGTGATGGGGATTCGAACCCGCAACCCGCAGATTGCGAATCGAGCGCTCTAACCACCTGGCCATGCCGGGCCCTCCGATGCAAGCTACAGAACTATAACGATAAAAATTGGGACACAGCGCAGATAGCCCATTTCAGAGACGCGTGAACGAATTTCAAACTTGGGTGCTGAAAATGGGGGATTGAGTGTATGTCTTTTTTGGATATATAGAAAATGGTCATATTTTGTGAATTTCATAATCATATACACAGATCAAACCAAGTGAGTTTTAGTAGGGATAAGACACATCGGTATGAAATTAAAAAAAAAACTCCGAGACACGAGTCAAAGCATGTACTTTATGTAACATTAAACACCAACAACACAACGCATTAACAACGAAAAACATATGTTACATAAATAAAATGCAACGACTTCCTTAGATCTCTCTCTTTTTTTTAAACAGTGTCATAGAATTACCGTATATCCATCTTTGACCTAAAACACTTCTCTTCGACACGTTATGTCAGTTCACAAGCTGGACAGTTCTATACTATTGCAGTCTACTGTGTTCAATATGTATTGTACTCGAAAACGACAAACACCTAACTGCTTGCAACAGCTATAGAAACAATTTGCAATGTGTGAGTCGTGGTTTCGAATCCCCGTCACCGAACGCGCTCGTCCTTTTAGCAGTGGGGGCGTTATAATATGACGATCAAATCCACAGTTCATTGGCAAAAGAGTAGCCCAAGAGTTGGTAGTGGGTGGTTTTGAATAACTGCCTTCCCTCTTGTCTAGCACTACTAAGTTAGGGACGGCTAGTTTTGCATAGCTTCCTTCCCTCTTGTCTAGAACTACTAAGTTAGGGACGGCTAGTTTTGCATAGCTGCCTTCCCTCTTGTCTAGAACTACTAAGTAAGGGACGGCTAGCGTGAAATTCAAACCAACCAAACAAAGCATTTAGTGTTACCATTTCTCATATCTTCTAATTGAAATTGGAGAAAGAACGATAATGTAAATAACAGTTACCAGTGGTTTTCAAATTCGATGACGAGGAACCCACTTATATTAAAGTTTTTCTTCATTGCCCATTCAAGCCGTCTCCAACCATTATTACCAGTGGTTTAATGTCATCTCACATCAGAACTGTATTTGTTTGCCCCATGTGCTTTCTGGTATAGCGTCATTTCCGGTATTCGAAACGTTTCGAATAATCAGATTAGTTGATATACACTCTAAAGGAACTTAACATTAGCCAAAGCACAAGCTTTTCTCCCTCCAGTTATGAAGTCCTTACGCAATACATGTGTCAGTGTACTGGTAGTGTGGCGCCATCCGTAATTCGAAACTACCGACCATAGACAACCGGCTGTCATCAACCACATTTATTTTTACTTTATTATTATTTACTATTTTTAAACACCAACTACCCAATGTAATTCAGATTTTTAGCTGTTATGTGTTGAGCACAAATCTACATAATGAGCTCTCTGTGCCCTGCCCACCGCAGCTATCGGACTTCCCTATGACCGACCGAAGAACTGTAATTGAGATTATTTTAATATTATTATTTCAGTTAGTATTATACGCTTGAAAAGTTTGACCACTTAAAAGTATGAAATCCGATCTAATCTGTCCTCCAGTGGGTCAGTTATAAGTTTACGGACTTAAAACTCTAAAGTCGGGGGATCGATTCCCTGCAGTGGAGAGAGCGATTATGTGGCATTGTGCAGCTTTGCAATAAAAACACAACTAATTTGAGATAATAATAATAATCGTGACTTACCTACTTTACATTTTAATAAATAAAATACTTATTCTTATTACACTCCGTATATTGTTGTGAATTATCTACTCCAGGTTTTAATAATCGTAAATAAGATAATTTTTATGTTGGAACTTCTACTCTTCTTTTTATGCTTTGGGAGTTTGACACCAGTCTTGGCACATGTTCTCGTATCTCCAATAAGCTCTTCAAGGTGCTTCTACTAATAATGCCCAATATAATCTTATTTAACTAATATATTTTCTTTCCACATAGTTTCACGCTTGCTCCACTTTCATACTTCCACTTTTTTCAGTTCCCTCAGTCCACATAATATTTCATTAATGTCATAATCTGTAGATCTCACAGGTTGACAAAAAGCTGCGCCTTACCAGCTATGAGGTACACTTTTTTCTGGAATGTTATGCCATTGTGACCTGGAATATAGGCTGTTATCAGATGAGTTTTTAAGTGTCTCAAAGATTTTACCCATATTCTTTAGACAAAACCTGCCTCCAATTTTGTGAAAAAGATTGGAAACCTGTCACGATTATGATCCTCTCACGATATTTACTGTAAACCAGAGAAGTGAATCCTCATATGCTTCACATTCTGCTCTTAATGAGCTGGATTCTCCAGTTTTTACCACTGACCATTCAAACACTAGGTCGTATATAATATATATGTGTCCGTTTGGCTCCTGACCATGCAGTCAATTCACTCTTAGCTGGGACATCCATTAGTATTATTAGTGTAATTCCAGCACTCACCTTTCCTTCCACGTCCAGCTGTTGATATTTATTGTGTTTAACTTCATGTCATCTAGCTGAGTCCAATCAGTAATCATGATGTTTTCAGAGTGTATACCTCTTCTACATATTTCTTAACTTTACTTACCCATGTCTTGAATAATTTCAATTTCTGTGTTACTGCTTCATTGCAGCACTTTTGTTAATACGCAGTCCAGATAGAGTAACGCTTTCCATAGCTCCGAACAAAATTTATTGTGTATCTCCATTTGTATCTAGTTATTTTATTTTTACCATAGGTAATTATTGTAAATAAAATGATTTTGATCTTATTACTTTCACTTTTTAAATGCCTGGGGATTTTGACACCAGACTTGGCACAAGCCCTCCACCAGTAGCACTTCTTTCAAGTGCTGGTATCCAGTGCTTCTCATAGCAAGCCAAAAGTGGAGGTTTTAATCAAAGTGGTGTTAGTTTGGTTGCTCATGTTTCTATTCTCGTGACTGGATTCTGTACCCTCTGTAACTTGATCATTATTTACTATGATGTTGATGCAGACAAGTATATTTCTTACTCCATTCTGGTCATGACTGTTGCTTCTACCAGATTGATAAGGATTCTCTGATGTACTTTCTGAGATGCAACATATTTGAGAAGGGTAAGATTATTCACCATTTCTCTATGTTTATTTTACTTGTTTTCAGAAGATAGGGGAATTTAGACAGTTTTGAAAAAAGAAATGTTAGAAAAAACTACCTTTACTCCCACTCCTAGATAATTAAAAACTATTTCAACCTACATTTCGCCATTGCAGCTTCATCAGGGTTTGTACATAAACGCATTAAAAATTCCCACAATTTTAAGAAGAACGGAAGAAACGAGTGTGCGTGTGTGTTTTGTTATAGCAAAGCCATGTCAGGCTATCTGTTGTGTCCACCGAGGGGAGTCAAACCCTTGATTTTAGCGTTGTAACTCCGAAGACTTACCGCTGTCCCACCGGGAGACGGAAAAAACGAAGAGGTATCATTTAGGGTTGGTTCCAAATGTCTAATTGATAAATTATTTTTATTTTCTGAGGTTACAACACTGTGGTAGTCGTATGTTGTTTACAAATTTGCATTTACCTGTCGTAAGCGGGCTTATATTGGTTGCACAGTACGTCACCTACTAATTCCAATCAAAAAACGGATGAGACAATCAAATCCAGTATTAATCTACAGCTCAACTTCTGTATTAGGAGTCCTTGCAATAAAGATCTCAGACTTTTCTGCTCAGCAAAGAAAGAACGTTACGGATAAAATGACTTTATTAATTAAAGTCTAAAAACTGAATAATATGAAGAGATACGTGTAAGTTAAATTATTAAATCACTTTTCATGTTTCATTTCTTCAGGTTTTCGTAACGTGCTTTTAACAATGTTCAGAATTTTGTTGTTTGCAGTTGTTCTAAGATTATCGTAATGATACTAACTATATTACTCTACAAACATTTGACATAAATTACTTATGTGAAATTGAAAACTAAATATAAATTCAAAATGTTCTAGGCCTGGCGTGGCCTGGAGATTAGGACACTCGGTTGGTAATCTGATAGACGTAGGATCCAAACCCATCGCCAAACATATTCGCCCTCTCAGTCGAGGCAGCGTTACAATATAACGGCTCATCCCACTCACTATTCGTTGGCAAAGAATAGCCCAAGATTAGAAATGGGTGTTGTTCACTTCAAAGTTCATTTAGGGACGGCTAGCAGCAGATAGACCTCGAGTAGCCTTGCGGAAAATTAAATAGGCGAATAGTTTTTAGATTTGCCATAATAATTAAATATACAGTAGACGATAGTTAAAAGGATTGTTAAAAGGAACGTGTAATAGCTCGAGAAATGGAACATCAAGAGTAGTTTAAAGTTCAATGGAAACCAATACTAGAGGTTAAAGTGTTTAACTACATACCATTTTGCGTTACATATCAAATTATGACCGAAATCGGTCAATAAACAACTGAGATATAAGTGATTTAATTGCGCTGTCCTATCTTGGCATGTTTTGAATTTGTCGCAAATAAAAAATACGTCAATGCTCACCCGTGACTTTACTCTTACCTATATATAAGTCAAGAAATAGCGTTAACAGATGCTCCACGAAGTTACAGCTAATTTGATGGTCGAATTATGCAGTCTCTATCTATTAGTTTTCTAACAGATGCAAACTTGAGTCGACAGTGGTTCGTACGAATGACCACCTCTCTTTGGTGAGAATGAATGGCATCCCAACATATGATATTCGGGCAACATTTCGTAGACTTGGACGAGTTTCATTCATTTTCTCTTAGTCAGGCTGAGTTCCTGGGATTCAAGCCTGGATGATTTCACCTGAACAAAGGCGCGATATTCATTCTCGGGAAAGATGACGGGCAGAAGAAGGGGGAAATGGATAAAACAACACGACTATCGTGAAACACCATAACTTGTAATCTTGTTTAATTAGTTTAATCTACATTAATTTGCAACATGCAGTCATACTACTTCACAGCTAACACGCTTTAATAATGTGAATTCAGTATTTTTTTGCTATTGACCTTTAGTAAGCCCTGATCAAAACCCAATGGCGAAACGTAGGTTTAAATTAAATTAAATAGTAATTTCTAAATTATCTAGAAAATGAAAATTTTTTGGTTTTTTTGTAAATGTTACTTTGCAGGCTGATAAACATAGCACGTGATTGCAGTTATATTATTTTACCGCGATGAAATTTATTTCCTGTCAACTTAAAATGTTGTTCGAGTTTCTTAATCGGCTCATTTTTTTATATGGCTTGTTTGTTTCCTTGTTTTAGCCCCAGGCCGCACAGTAGACTATCTGCATTCTGTTCACCACGAAGAATCGAGTCCAGGACTTGAGCATCATAAGTACGTAAAGTAAACTTTATGTTTTCCTAGGGATCTTTTGTGTGAAATATCGTAAAATAATCTGAATTTCTCTTAAGTTTTCAATTCCACCTAAGTATTTTACGTCAAATGTTTGTACAGAAGTATAGCTAATATCATAACTGTACTATAATAACCTAAGAACAGTTGTTCGAACAACGATAATATTCTGAACATTGTCAAAAGCACGTTAAACCAGTTTAAAGAAGTTTGTTTGTTTTCAATTTCGCGCAAAGCTACACGAGAGCTATCTGCGCTAGCCGTCCCTAATTGAGCAGTTTAAGACTAGAGGGAAGGCAGCTAGTCATCACCACCCACCGCCAACTCTTGGGCTAGTCTTTTACCAACGAATAGTGGGATTGACCGTCACATTATAACGCCCCCACGGCTGAATGGGCGAGCATGTTTTGGTGGGACAGTTTAAAGAAATGGTTTGGTTTTAATTTCGCGCAAAGCTACACGAGGGCTATCTGCGTAAGCTGTCCCTAATGTAGCAGTGAAAGACTAGAGGGAATATAGCCAGTCACTACTATACACAACCAACTCTTGGGCTACTCTTTTACCAACGAATGGTGGGACTGGCCGTAATATTATAATGCCCCCACGGCTGAAATGGCGAGCATGTTTGATGGAACGGGGATTCGAACCTACAACCCTCAGAGTGCGAGTTAAAAAATCGATTGTTTGTTTGAAGCTAAGCACAAAGCTACACAATGGGCTATCAGTACTCTGCTCACCACGGGTATCGAAACCCGGTTTCCAGCGTTAGAAATCCGCAGACATACCGCTGTCCCACTGAAAGGGGCAAAGAAATGGAATATCAAAAGTGATTTAATAATTTAATATATTTTTTCATATAGTCAGTTTGATACGCACTTTAAAATCGCTCGTTACTCACATGCAGTCTAACTTCACTTTTACTTTCACTAATTTACTTACATCCACTAACTTGATCGCCTATACATAAAGTACCCGACTAATGCCTAGAACTTTCTACAAACTACAACACATTATGATGTAACAATACTCACTAAAAGCAACGAGAACAATTCATAAAATTCGAGTAACTGACGTCAATTCACAACTGAACTACACGACAAATGAATCGTAAGCTTCTAAAAATACTAAATTTAACACTTGTGCTTAATAGCTATCTAAATCATGACTCTCACATTCAATTTAAATGAAACAGTCGTGTATATCTAACAACACAACATGAAGTCTAGCAGGCTTACGTACAAGATCGCAATTTTGTTTAGAATGTTTTACAGGGTAACATCGACCAACATTCGCCACAAAACTTAACCTGTTTACTTCTTAGAATTTCTGTTCATCAGTTATAGCTGAATCAGATTATAACCTTCTCTGAAATGTTTGGTTACAGCCCGATATTCTGAAAATTGAATATAAGAGCAATTACTCGTGTAGGCCTAATGTTCATTGAGGTTGTTATATTACATAAACAGTAGTATGCGTAAAATGTTATATTAGAGACATAAGGGGATAACATTATGAGGTATATTTGTGAACATTCTAGAGACCAGTATTATTGTTACCCGTAATCAAAGCTTTCTAATCTTTCGGAAAATTATGCCAAAATTCTCATGATAATATTAATAGCATCATTATTATAGAACCCGGACGAAAAAGTTGAATAAGAAGAATTAAGTAAACTCCAGTAGAAGTAGCGGAAATTTTTCGGGATATCGGTCTGTTCCCGAATTTTCATCTACCTTAACTTTGTACAAAATGCGCATTTGTGCAGTCTTCTCTGCAGATACTCTGCTATAACTCACTAAATACATCGAAAAACATTTCACCAACGTTTCACTAATAAAAATTCTTTCAGTTATCGATTTTTCAACCAACCAACTGCCCTAACAGTAAAATAATCACGTGGCTATTACGTGATGTACTACATATACGTGTTATTTTGAAACACCTCTTGATTAAAAGTAAGAAACGCCATTTCCTTTCATTCATTTCTCAAACAAGTGTCTATCATAGCTAATGGACATGCAGTTAATCCTAGCCATAATGTCGTCGTCGTTGTTTCGGTCGACCATAGGTTCGAACTGTAACTGGTATATCCTCACCTGACACCTTTTGAAGAGCCAGATATATAATAAGAGATTTTTCTATCCTCATCAAATAATGCGATGTCGTGCAACACCGCAATCTCATCATAAGAGTCAACTTTCTCATCCGCCTTAGTAAGTAAAGTTTCAACATGTTCGCATGCTCACGATCACAGAAACTCATAAGTCATTTCACTGAACTGTTGATAAACAGGTTATTAGCAATCCAGCTGGATGAAAGCTATATCCACAGCCAACTGTGGTACTTTATATTCAATATTCCTTGATCAGTGATACTACAAAGGTTATCTTGGAACGACTTATATTTTACAAGGAGTAAATGCACAGATAACAATAAAAAATATAATCGCTTGAGATATGCGTACCCATATTTTATACGAAGACATAGGAAAGAAGATTTAATTTCAACTTAAGCAACGTTATTTTTCGGGGTGTGGATGAATCTGACATGGAAACTAAGACATTTCGGTTTTATCATGCATGTATTATTTGAGACGAACCCTTATTTACATGTATACAACTACTACACCGTTTCGTACTATTGCAGCTGGTGTACTTATTTCTTCGCTCAATGGCCCGGCGTGGCCAGGTGGTTAGGGCGTTCGACTCGCAATCTGAGGGTCGCGGGTTCGAATCCCCGTCACACCAAACATTCTCGCCCTTTCAGCCGTGGGAGCGTTATAATATGA